CTGCATCAGGACTTTGGTAGTCCATGAAGGCCATTCGATGGTGGCCTTCGTGCGCAGGCAAGGGAAGGAGTTACCCTTGCCAGTCTCGGTTGCAGCTTTGTTCGAAGACCAATGGAGCAGCTGGCGCGAAAGGTTGTTGCAAGTCATGGAGTTGCAATGCTTTGCTGGCCTTGGAAACAGCAACTGTGGCGCAACCACTGCAAATGACTGCACGAGCAAAGGAAGCTGTGGCCCATCACACGCCCTCCCAATTCGCTCCCTCGCAACAAGCGGGAGGAGCCTGGGGGGGCGTGCACGTTTCGAATCAGATGGAAAGAGTGAGACGCATTGGAGCTGCTGCTGGGGATGACAGCTGGATGGCTGAGCTTGAGGTCTGTAAGGCGAGCTTGACCAGGAGTGTGACCAGTTCCGAGGGTGGCTTCGGGCAAGGGCAGAATGCAAGGCAAGCAGGCCCAACGCAGGATCTCCTGCACCTCAGATGGACAACCCGCGGGTAGTTGACCGCAAGGAAGTCTCCTGTCTCCCAAGCAGACAGCCAGAACTCATCTACGCATTCTGTCCCCGCCACCAGCCCTGCGCAGCCCACCGAAGATGTCTGGTGCATGCCGATGCTCGTGGCAGTTGCCAGGTGACTGAAGAAAATGGGAGGTCTGTTGGTAGTGTAGCATGTCCGCGTCCTCCCAAGTGCAGAGAAGGCAATGCTGAAACAATTTTTTTTTGCACGAGTGGAGACGCCATGTGTGCAGAGATTGCACAGGTCATCTTGTGCCATGGGTTGAGTTACTGGCCAGAATGCGAGAACCGAGAAAAGAAACACAACCAAACACAACAAACAACCCAAAAAACCACCTTGCTACGGGCTTCCTTCTGGTTGTTGCGGATGGCTTTGCGCAAGTTCTTTCTGTCCTCCTTCAATTTCTGCAAGTCGGCCTGCAGCATCTCCTGGCAATTTGACGTCCCCCAAAGCCGGGTACACTTCCCCCACTTTTTCTGTGCCACCCTGGCAACAGCGTCCAGTGGTTTCGCATGGCATCCAAGACTCCATGTCGGATGTCTCTGTGCTCAGTTTCAAACCTGGCAAGCGAAAGCGTTTGTGTTTTTTGCAGCCGGTCCTAGCTGCCGCCAAGATGTTGTTGAAGGCAGACCTGGAGCTGTTGATTGGGACCAAACAGGTGGGTTCCATCTTCCAATGTGTGGTCACTTCTTTGCAAGCCAGGACCAAGAGGCAACGACAGAGGAACGAACTTTTGAGGTGAAAGTCTGCCAGCTTCAGTCGGGACGTCAGGAGGCTGCAGCCCCACGCGGGGTGTCCGGTCAACCAGTCCAGCCCTTGTCCTGTCAAAGTGCGATTGTCTTCGCTCCTTTGCGCTGTTGTTTTCTTTTCTTTTTGGTTCGGTCGTCCTGGACACATTTGACTTGCAAGACAGGTTTTCACGGTGAGATGCATGTGGAGAACTGGCGAAGAACAGTGGATGAAGTGATACAATGCAATGATTTCCAAGCAAGTGCGCAAAGCCAATTTCATTCCTGGACGACCACTTTTGTGCACACACAAGACATGTTTCTGGGAAGGCTTGTGTGCAAAGCATGTTGTGAACTTCACGGTTTTTTGAGAGTTTCGATTGTCATGATTGGTCTTGTTGTATGTTTTGTGCTGTGAGTTCGTTTTGTTTCGTGGTGGATGTGTGTCGGAAGATATTTTGGATGGATGGCGTTTTGGATTTGGAGCAGGGGAGTCCACCCATGTTGCTTTTGATTTCTTCAGCAAGTCTGTGACTTTTAAAGTTTCACTTGACATTTCATTGCTTTTCTGCTTTTGAAGTTGCCGAGATGCAAATTGGTTTGCGCTCATTGTCCATCGAGTGAAGCGACACATTTTTTCAGCGAAGGTCATGCACCGAAAGAGCACAGGACCGCCCGAGTGGTTGGAAGTGGTCCTGGTTTTTGGGCACCGGAGATCCAGAAGCCAACAACAACAGCACATGGTTTTGAACGTTCAGTCCGCGCTTTGCTAGGAATATTTTGAGTGCTCAAATGTTGGAACAACGGCACGATCCTTCAAAGACAGGAAACCGCTGCTTTTGGGACCACTCATCCTCTTGCACTTGTTGAGCACTCAGGGCTTGGGAGGGGATTCAAGACCCATTGGCTTGTAGGTTCAGGTGCCACGTGTCACAGTGTTGCTGAGGAATGGTTGAAGCGGTTGGTTGGTTGGGGTGAGTTGGTTTGTGGGTTTGTTGGTTTTTTGGTTTGTTGGTTGGTTTGTTTGTTTGTCGCTTAGTTGCTTGGTTGTTTGGTTTTTGGTTGCTTGTTTTGGATTGTTTGGTCGGTTGTTTGGATGGGAAGTTGGTTTGTTAGTCGGTGTGTCGGTTTGTTCGTGCAACTCGACTTGGCACCCTCCGACAGGAGGAGTGTTATCTCAGAAACCAATTCACACTGCCGCATTCATGCTGGAGGACCGAGAAATGTTTTGAAGATGTCAATTTTGGGTATGGGTCCCGAATTCCATGATTGGTAGAAGTTTTGTTGATGCCGTTTCTGGCTTCAAAATGATTTGCAGTTCTTCCGACCAACCAGAGTGCTCCCTCAGTCAGAGTGTGTTTATTTTGCATTTTGGCGCCAACGCAAAATTGAAGGTGCAATAGAGTTAAGAGAATCTTACAGCCGCAGACTGGGGGTGGACAAAACGTCTATTTTTTCATTTCGTTTTCGTTTTCATCATCTTTTTTTCATGCCCATTTGTGTCTGTTTTTCATGTACATGTGTGTTTTCGTTTGCATCATCATTTTTTTACACGCCCACCTGTGTTTTTCACGCGTGATTTCGTTTATCGTTTGGGTCCCCTGAATCGAAGGCTGCCAAGTCACTTACTCCTGAACCCTCTTTGGCGCCCTGGTCGGCTAGTCGCTTCTTTCTATTTTGCTTTAGCTGTTGTGAAATGTAGTTAAACTGTCGTTCACACGTTGCCGAAACTATCCGAATTTAAAACAACACGAACAGATTAAAGTATATACATGAACTCATTAAATTACAATGTTGCCAATTTGTGGCCGAAACTAGCCAAAACGATCATGAAAGACAAAAGAATGCTGGAACTCAATTGCAATTGCCTCCCCTGAAGGAAAGGCGGCCAAGTGAGCTAGTCCTGAACCCTCCTGGCTGGTGGGTCACACATTTCCTTCTATTTTGCTTTAACTTTTGTGAAATGGACCTGACCATCGTTGATTTGTGGCGGAAACTAGCCAAAACTAAAAAAATGGAATAAACTCGAGGAAATTCACATTTTTCGAATTTGTATTCTTTATTTTTTTAACATTTTTTCGTTTTTCATTTGCTTTTTCCTTGCTTTGTGGCCGAAACTAGCCAAAACGAAAAACGAAAAACATGAAAACACTTGAGGAACATTGCAATTTTTGAGCGAACAAAATTTGTCATTTTTCATTTTTCGTTTTTTAAAAATCATTTTTTCGCGTGGCATTTGGGTTTTCATTTGGTTCATCATTTTTCATTTGCCATTTTGGTGTTCATTTGGTTCACCATTTCTTTCATTTTGTCATTTTGGTTTTCATCTGGTTACGCATTTTCTTTTCATCTGTCATTTTGGTCTTCATTTGGGTCATGATTGTTGATATTGTTTCTGACAATTTCATGTAATTTTTGTTTTCATTCAGGGCGGTCTCTTCACTAACCTGGTTTACGTCCCATCCCTGTATGACAAATTTCTAGGCCACTAGGCCACTAGGCTCAGGCCTTTGGGGCCCAGTGGTTTAGCTCAGCAGCTTGCAAGTTGCATTCCACGATTTTGATCCTTGGTTTCGATTGCTCGGGAAGCGATGGGTGAGGGAATCCCTTCACGCATCTATATATAGTTTGGGGCGCTGACTGTGACCGAAGTGATTTTGGAAGCCCATGGGAAGTGACAGCAAAGCCAACCAGTTCTGGAAGGATGAACATGACGCAAAAAATGATAACCCCAAAGAAATGAAAATAAAACCAAAATATTTTGCAATTAAGATCAACTTTCCATTGCCGGCTGGCAAAGATAGACTTAACAATAGAGCAAAAAAAGTGGTGTGTGGAAAAGGCAAGGCTTGTCGCAAGTAAGGAGGTGTGTGAAATTTGATGGATGAGTAAATGGAGACGCTTTGTGGTGTACTTGTTCATCCAGAAAAGAAAATGGGATTCGGTTTTTCAATTCCATGGGACGGTTTTATGGTTTTGTGTCTGTGTCCATGGAGTCCGCAGGAAACAAGCAAAGCTTGATGCCCAAGGTTTGGTGTTGAACGATGGTTTGCTGCCTTCAGACTGATAAGTCACCTGGCTCAACCAAAGCTTCAGTCGTGTTTGCTCTGGTAGGATGACGCGCAAAACCCACTTGTTGGAACTGCAACACCCCTTAACCGGTCTGGGAATTTCTGTCGTGTTTCGAGGCTGACTTTGGCTTCAAGGAAAGAAGCTAGCGTATAGGTATTTCCATGTCCAGCATGTGTACCTTATAGCAACGTTTAGTGTGTGAGGTGGAACCATTGAAGTAGTAGCTGTTGGGTGAGTTTAGGTGTGGAAGTTGTGGGGGGGGTGTGAGGGATGAGTCAGAAGCGCAATCTTTGCCAAGCCTCCTTGTCATCTTTTTTCAAAAGTTCCCCCCCCTCCCCCGTAGACTCCTAACACGTGAACATGTTGCGAGGTTTTTGGTTGAGATGTGGAGGAAAGAATTCCCTGTATTGTAAAGTGGTTTATATGGAAAGCAGGGTGGAGGAGTAATTTTTGTTGGAGGAAGCAAGCGGAGGAGCGTTACACTCCTCTTGTTGCGTAAGAGAGATGTTTCGCAAATTGTTTTTGGTGTTTTTCTTGAATAGAATTTCAGCGGAGGAGCGGAGGAGTGATTACGAAAATGTCAATTTTGGGTGTGGGTGTGGGAATTTTACGATTGGTAGACGTTTTGTTGATGCCGTTTCTGGTTTCAAAATGATTTGCAATTCTTCGGACCAACCAGAGTACCCCTTCAGTATGTTGTGTGTGGCACACGCTGTGGAGAGTGTTCCATTTTGATGTCGCTGTGCCATGGGGTTTTGCACGGCGTTAGGCCTTGCCGGCGCTGGAGCCCTCTCTCAGGATCCAGCGTGTTCAGTGCCGAAGCGAAATGCGATATTTTTGTGTGCGCTGGGTTGCTTGGCGATGTCACAAAGGAAATGGGCGGCCAAAGCAGCTCCGTGTGCTCAGATAAATGAACTTTATTCTCGCGCACGCTTTGCTTAAAAATTTCGGGCCACCAGGGATCTAGTCTTTTTTGTGCACTTAAGAAAGATGCTTTCCAAGACCGTTGCATTGTTGTGTATTCACGTTTTGGTGTTCTTGATTGGAGTTGCTAGGTCCTTGCAAGGTTCCAGGATGCTTCAAGAGCTCGGTGCTCTTACGGTGTTTTCAAAGATCCTCTGGTTTGTGTAAAGTTGAATTGGCCACAGCCGAGCCAAGGCCAAGCAGCACTCCACGGCACGATCACCATAAGTGAAATTTAAGTCGGGAAACGTTCTTTCGGCCCCTTTGTGCTCAAAACTTAGGTACGTAGGTCATCAATAGATGTTGTTTTGCAGATGAACATTTGAAGCACTTAGAAGTGGCAGCATGGTTGAGCTACCTCACAATAATTAATCTAATAACGTAATCTGGTTCGGGGACTCCTGAACCGGAATATGGTGATCCGGAGTTTTCGAACACGTCGAACACCGAACCCTTGATTTGTGCGGCAGAGCTGTGGGCAGATGATTTCCCCCTCGAACATTCTTCACGATTTCTCGGTCTGAGTCAGCCCTCCCAGGATCAACTGTTCAACCGATATCCACAGCCACTGGTGTCCCAACTTGTGGAACGTGCCATGGCTCAACAAAAAGCCTTGTCGCTGCATCCTCAAAGTTGTTGTCAAATGAGGAGTGGTGCGGGCGGGATTGTTGATTTGTGATTCTTCAGGGGGTCTCTCATGGACGCAAATTGAAGGAAATTGTGAAGGTGTCTTGAATATCCCTGTCTGTGCATCTCTCTCTCTCTCTCTCGTTCTTTTTATCTCTCTCTCTCTCTCTCTCTCTGTCTCTTAACAAACAAATTTATGTACACATACACTATATATATAATATACCGTATACCTTGTCGGTTGCGTGTGCAAATTCAGGAACAGCAGCGATAGAACCTCCCAAAGCACAGGTGACATTTGTTGGCTGTTGCCGCTCAGCATTCTTTGTTGCCACATAAAGCTCATTCAGCAATTGCAACTGTCATGAAGCTTATAGTAGTCCCCAAATGGATAGTTACGTTTTCCAATACAATTTTAGTGGGGATCTACGAAGTTCTATATTTTTGCAGGTCTATATAGAAATTGTTAACCTGTGGATCACCACGAACTCTGGCCAGTCGACTGATTCCATCACATCTTCTGGGAGCGACCCAAACTGCACCGCTGAGAGTCAGTTCATCACAGACTCAGCACTTCGCCCGAAGCGCTCCGTTTCGCGGACCGTTCAACGCTGGGAAACCAGGTTTCGCGTGGGTCACTTCAACATCCTAGGTGCCGCGGGCTGTACGGGCGGTGGCTTAGATATTCAAGCTGTCATGAAAAATTCTTTCCAGAATCGTCCCATTGGGGTTCAATCTTCCAACGGGTTGTGGTTTTTTCTTGGTGTGGTCCCAACCCCAAAAATCTCAGGGACCAACGAAGGGTGCACCGGATGTTTGGCAGGGTGCCTTTTAGCAGTTCTTCGGAGAAAGAGCCTTTGAGATCCCCAGGATCCGACGTCGTTGCATCGATTTCAGACAGTTCAAACCATTGGATTCATTGGATATTATCTAGTTGGCAGAGGTCAGTCTTTATGGCATTGTTTGCTCATTTCAGACATTGCTTCTTGACATGGATGCTCAGGGATGCGGGAGAAGACGGCATGGTTTTCCGAACTATCATTTTTGGTTTGGCTGAAAACTGTGCTCGAAAAAGAACCTAAGACGTTACCTGACACTCATGCTGTTTCTTACCCTCCTCAACCTCTACAGCTCCAATCTATTTTTGAATCCGAGCGTCTCCCTCGTGTCCCTGTCATTCCCACGTCTTGTCCCGTTGGTTCCCCAACGAGGCAAGAAGATGGCCGGGACCAAGTGGCCACTCTGGCTGTCCAACGCGCATGGCTTGGAGGGGGGCTTCCACTCGAAAAGACACGTGACCGGCAGGAACCCATCTTCGGACCGGGTGTGGACGAAGCGGAATGTGATGTCCAACTATAATTGGTCCAGTTCGACAACAGTCTTCGTTCACCAAAAAACCTGCAGGTTTGTGATGGTGTTCTGTGGATGTCTGTGACCAAATGGTGTGGATGTCTGTGACCAGTTCACTGACCAGTTAAATGGTGTGACGGTTCGGTGACCAAAGGATCTGTGAAACCAGTCGGGAGCGAAACATCGCCCTCCAAAAAACCTGACAGAAAGACTAAGGATGTGCCATCCTGACAGACTAGGGTCTTTCATCACGAGTTTGTACCAAAGAAATCTGTGGGTCTTTCTTGCAGTCGACAGCCCCACCTGTCCCGTGTCCAGTTGATGTGCCGAAAGTTGCTTTGTTGATGTCAATTTAGTTTACTTGCACCAGAGCAGGTGCTCGCGGTGGGTGGGTTTGTTTCTTCTCCAAGACTTCACCCCAGGTCCGGTCAGGTCCGGTGGGATTCTAGAATTCTGGAATGACAAGGATAAGATTTGGGTCTGAAGGATTCTGGAGCCAAGTTCGCGTCGAAGTTTCTGCCGGAGGTCCTTAGAGTCCCTGGTGAAACTTTCAAAGTCCCGAGCTTTTTTGAAAGTCTTTTTCATCTTCGCTACTCACCAGGCTGTCTGGAAGAAACGGTGAAGATAGTCTTGATACGAGCCAAATGTCCCACAAAGACCTGCTTCCCAGAAGAAAGCTCCAAAAACGAAGTCTCTTTCTCCTCCAGTGCACTCACCTCGATCCAGATGTCTAAGAAGTTAGGCACCAAACCTTTCCTTCCAGGTTCCACTATGCACGCGACTTCCTACCGGCCTCCTTCGCCTCCAACCACTGGGACTGGTCTCGGGTCTGGTGCCCCGGAGCGGATCTGGGGAGGACGTGTATGCTGATGAAACACTCTGCGCGCGGATGGTCCGCTAGGGAGACCCCGTTCTTTTTGTTGAGACCTTTCTCTTCTTGCAAACACCCCAGGAACCATGTTCTTCCCAGGGGCAAGTTGCTCGGTTTCTGAACTACATGGCACGTGTTGAAAAGAAGAAGAACGAGTTGCGGATGCTGAGGATACTGGCTGCTGGTTTTGGTTCCGGGCCAGTCTTGGAGGGTGTTGAAGACCCGGGCAGGTGGTCTTTTTCGATTCGACGGACGATGCAAAACTGCAAACTCCGGACGTGACAAAATGTGTGATGCAAATGAGCCGGGCCAATCTTTGCCACGGCCATAGCAAAAGTGAAGCAATGAGTCTACAATGTCATGACTGTCAACCCTAACAAAAACCGACCAGAATTATCTGGGGACTCTCTTCACCAACCAACCACATCAGTATTACAAGCGAAAGAGACAGAACTTGTATTTGGGGCTCAAAGTCCGCATTGCACCGAACAAAGGAACTGCTACTAAGCGAATGTGCAACACGTGCGCAGGCGGCGCAGCCGGCATGCGACAAAGTATATTTTCATCATGCCTCCTCTATCCAGGCTTGTGCATTCTCCATCTACATGCCGCAGTGCATTTTTCACAGTTGAGCTGGACTGATTGAAGATGGTTCCTAAGCTGGACCTCACTTGACTCCACTCTTCTGTTGCATCCGGCTGTGGCCGTCCGTGCCGTTTGAGCGTCCGGTCCGTGCGGTTCGTTTCGCCCAGGCGGGTCACTTCCCACGGTCTCTGCTGTGGTCTCGAGAAGAGGGGTTGGGGAGCTCAAGCGGAGCTCGGGTCAGACCTGCCAGCGGTTGGTTTCTTTTTTGGCTCACCTGGTTGTTCACCTCAGACTTCGGTTGTTCACCTGGTTTTCGTCCAGGTGGGTGATCAAAACAACATGTCGTTTCACAGGGCAAACTCCCGTAGGAACCGTGGCGCCAATCTCCCCAAGAGAGAGTGCAGGATCGCTGGGCAGTGGAGCATCCCGCAGAGAGGTCGTTGTTTGACACAACTGGACCACGAGATTGATGGGAATTCCCATGGAACTCTTGGTCAAATGAGGTGGTCCACTGTGGAGTCCTGGAGGCTCCTGGGTCGTATGGTACGAAATTCTCTGGGCCTCACTGGACGATGCATGCAGCGAAACGCTGGCGGCGCAAGGGGACGCCCAGTTCAGTTGGAGCGTCTATAGAGCACCACCTCAAAAGCCTCCGAACCAGAGGCAAATTGGATAGATGTTTCCCCCGGTCCGCACTGGATGCGATGTGGCAGGATTTTGAAGGGCGGAACTTTGGGGTTCCAAGCAAGATCGACACTGCGCCAGGCATTTTCCAGGCAGAACTCATCCAGATCCATCACTGGGAGGGTGCAACAGTGTAAATCCATGGGTTGGGAGCTCCGTGTCACGCGGCGAATGCCCGCAGAAGCTCCGCGGTGCTTCGTGATTTTCGAAGCTCCCGGTGGGTGGAGCTAACCTGGAGCTCCTCCTGGCCGGGAGCTAGCAATCTGAAGGTAAGACCACATTCTAGCAGTTCCATGGAGGACAGGGTGCTCTCCGAGAAAGGTTGTTGGCACGGCCCCTGTCACATCATGAGACTAGTCCAACCTCTTTGATATGGAACTGCTGGTACTAGTGCTCTTTGGATGGAGTTTTCCTTCCACGCCCCGCCCTCGTGCTGAGTCCCTCAGTCCTCGTTCCGCGCGGTTCCGACTGCCCCGCGTGTTTGGTTCGACTGCCCCGCTCCGGAACCGCCAAGGCAGTCGCGGTTCTACCGCCTCGAGGCAGTTTGGACCCTCCGCATGTCGTTGGAGCCACCTGAAGCCACCAGCCATATGGAGGAGTAGCGGGGAGTGTGGACGATGATACGCCAGACCGCGAACTTGGGAAAACGGTAAAGGTGGGTCGTTTTCTTTTTGGGGACTCCTTCTGCTTTCCGAGCAGTAAAGCTGTGACTTGGTGAACTTTCGAGGGAGTTTCCTTCTGATTTTTCTGCAATTCAGAGGCATGGTGCAGAAGTACGTGCTAAACAATACGGTGTTCTTCTCTTTTTCTCCTGTCTCCTTCATCGATTCAACAGCTTACATGGTCACAGAGGTTTCTACTGAGGCTTGCAACCTCTGTGCTTCCATTTTTGGAATGGCTTGATGGCTCCCGAGCTGTCCATGAAGCTTGGTGCGCGGCGCTGCAGATCTCAAGTTCTGTTGGGTTTGACCATGTGTACCAACCAGTGGCCCTCAAACCCAGAAAAATAGACGCTTTTACATACAGAAACCATGTTTTTTGCTAGGGAAAACCAGGATCTTGCATGGTTTGGGGCCGGGGATGCCGGGTTGAAAACCCGATCTGCCTCTTTTCTTCGTTCCGATGCGAAGAGCGTCACATGACTTGGATGTGACGATGTGACTTGGAGGGCCCAATCCCCTGTTATACAGCCTTAGCTGACCCCAGAGCCATCTCGCCAAGCCAGTTCGGTGACCAGAGCCATCTCCCACTTCGCCAGGTCCTGTTGAAGGAGATCCGATCACTCAGCCGGGACACCTGGGGTGCTGTTGACGGTGGGTGCTCTGCGGGTTTGAGAGATGGACCTCGACTTAGGGTCAGAGGTGTTGCAGTTTGGAGTCGCGGTTTTTGGGAGAGCTAAACAAGACCCTTGGAATGACCACGACAGATCATGTTGCATGTATCACTTGTGCCAGCGCAAGTGCAAGTGATGCTCGCAATAAAGAGGATCACAAGAGCATACAACAGCGCCAACAACAGCGTTTTCTTGCTATGACCCCTAGTTCGACCTCGAGTTCTTTTGCTTTCTCGATAAGGAATCCCGTTCATTGAACGACTCGACAGCGTGCGACGGCTTTTCCAAGTCGATCGGGGCGAGCCAATCGCGCGCAGCGATGTCGCGCCATCCCCGGTCGAGGCGCTGATGTGCTTTGCCTGGTTGAGCTGGATTGCTTTGAGGAGCAGCTTGATGGAGGGAAGGAGAAAGGAGGATTGGAAGGAGGGAAGCGGAGAAGCCGGATCCCAGGCAACCACTATTGTCGTGGCCTGGGGTTGCCGTGGCCTGGCAGCGAAGTCTTTGGAGACCTGGATGGATCGTCCCTGTAGATGGAGATCGTCTTAAATCCGAGGGCTGCAACACCGGTGGAGGCACCGGTGCTGCCAGCAGTGAGATAGTGACACACCTAGTGAGATGGGGCAACGCGGAACATGATATCATGATATGCCTTTCTAATGGCCCTGGGCCTCTAGTGGCCGCTTTGAGGCAATGGAATTGTCACCGTTTGTTCCCAGAAACAGTGTGCTATCTTTCATCAGGTCAATTTCCTTTTCCCTCTTCGTGGCATGACACAACTCCAAGCTGTTTGGGCCTTGAGAGGCGGAGTCAAGAAGGATGAAGGAAGCCCAGCATAAGCCGTGTTGCCGAGGTTTCAGCAGATCCTCGGTGCAGATGGCTACGATGTGAGGCACCACAGGTCGGTCGCACCAGGTCGAGGTCGAACAACTCGGAGGTCGACGGCACTTGAGGTCGACGGGGCCATCAGCGGTGAGTTCCCGAAGCGGTTAGTTCACAGACCTCCCCAGAACACGAAAAGACCTCTTAGTTCACCAGCTGAAAAGGGTGGCTTTGTTCTTGGGGGATTTTGGCCATCAGCCTTCTGGCTTTGAGCCGCTCAAGCTCCAACATGGGGCTTCTGGATGTGCGCGGGAACCTGGGAACCTGGGAACCTTGCTGAGGCTTGAGAGCGAGGCTTGCTTGGGTTCAGAACTGCGGAGAGGTCGCTTCTTCCAGCGATTTCCAGGTGAACGGTGACCTTTCGGATGAATCAAAAACGCCAGGACCGACCCCCTTTGGACCTCGACCTCCTTCCAGTGACCCTTGTGACCCAGACCTCGACCAGTCACCAGTGACCCCCCACGAGCAGAGCAAAACTGCATGGGTGTGTGACGAGGCGCCTCACAACGTAGTATCCGAGATGCTTCTAGAACCATCTAGGACCCCACCAAGTTTAATTTTGAACCGCCCTAGCGACGAAGCTGTGGAAGCTATCGACCTGACCGGAAATTCAGCACATCTCAAAATGCATATTAGCAGAGGCGATCTTGAACTAACCTGTGAAGCGGTTTCCTTTGCACACTTAGTGCTTTTGTTGTTCTGGCTTGATTTTGTTGGGCTTACAGTAGTTCTTGAAGAGGTTTCTACCTGGGGGGTAGCCATTGATGTTGCCAAGGTTCTGCAGTAGCCTGGAAGTGCATAGAAAGTTCATGAAAAGCACCGGGGTTAGCCGTTTGGTTCTCACTTCTTTTTTTCAGAGATAGTCAACCGACAGGACTGACAGAACTATCAAAAGTGCGTTGTCTACTGTATGAGCAACAGCAGACACTTAAGACCCCAGTTTCTGCTTCTAAACTGGATTGAGCAGCCCGTCGTTTCGACGGCGCTCACGTCCTTCGTTCTCTCTTTCGCGACGTCCAACTCTTTCGCCGCCCGGGGCCCGTGACGTCCCACGTGCGCCCGTTCGCCGAGGCGGTGTTTCAGCCACGCCCCGGCAAGCACGACGGCTGTGGGATCTTCTGGCGTCGGGAGGCGTGGCCATCGGGACTGAAGAGGCCGGCTGTTTGCAGGCAGGGTTTGAACAACTGACCCTTCCAAAGCTTGGTGGGCTGAGTGAGCTCTTTTTTTATATGTTTTTGTTTGTTTTCTTGGGCGAGATGGGTGGGATTCAGACGATGACACAGCCTCAGCCAGCTTGGATTTGCGTCAGGAATTGGAAAGAATGGAAATATCTTCCGTGGCTGCCACACTTGGTAGATCCAAAAGGGGCAGACATCTGAACGGAGGAGGGTTATGAAGTTCTTCCAACTACCGGTGTCGTGCAGTTTTTTGTTCAGTTTTGAATATCCAGTGACCTGGGTCCGGACTACAAGCTGCGCTGCCACAACTCACAGGATGAATGTGATGTACGGCATTATGTCTTTGTTCCCGTCGTGAAGCCCTCGTCACTGGATGAGTGTCAACCAGTGGGCCGTTGCTAGGCATTGGTTGACCTTCGATCCGAAGAAGATCCCAAATGGGGTCTGTCTTCGCCAGAAGACATCGGGGTGGAATGGCTGTCGAACTCCTTGATCAAACAGTGGCATCGCCCCTAAGTGACCGACAGACATCCGGTTGACAGACATCCTGCATGGCATAGTTGGGATGTCTCACGTTTAGCCGCGACACGGACTCTCCATTCTTCGAATTTGCAAGGTGTTAGATACGAGCCAGGTCTCTAGAAATGAGCCAGGTCTCTAGACGTCTCTTCTTTTCTTTCGCTCCTTCCATTCTTCCCCAGAGAAGCCATCGCAAGAAGGGTTGGAGGATGTTGGAGGCCACCGCTAGAAAGGCTGGCTCTTCAGGCCATCGCTGTTTGGTTCCTCAAAGTCTCCTTAGGATGGTGGAACCATTCTTCCCAAGAGAAGCCGAAAGAACTCCTCGCCGATCGCCCCAAACAGGTCTTTGAGTCGGTCCGGGTCGCCCAGCCCGAGCGGGCCGAAGGGCTCGGTCTTTTCGGCGTCGGAGCGCCTGCGCCGGAGTCGGCTGGGGTGGGCCGGTTTTGGACGTTCCGGTGGTTTGAGGGTCTTTTTGGGAGACCTCCGGAGCCGGGTGTGTAGCTCAACTGCAAAAGACCTCCGTTCGGCGGGAGACCGGAGTCGGTGGTTTCGCTTCGCTGGTCCGGTTTGGTCGATGTCGGGGGTCGTTCCCAGTCATGAAAGGACAGACCCAGTCGCTGGGATCCGAACGAGTGGTGCATATGGGATAAGCGCGTTCTTGATCGGGCTGTGAACAACCTCTCATAGTCTCAGAAGTTGTTGAACACACTTCTTCAGACTATGAGTAACTGTCGTCCAACTGGCGATGCTTGAAGCTTTGCGATCCTCCTTTTTCTCGAATTTTCACGCACGAGCGGGCGTAGGATGGAACGGAGGACAATTGAAGTTAACCGAGCAATCCATTCATGGTCTTTTGCGAATCCAGATGAGGCCCGAACAGCTCCAAACCGAACCACCAGCAAATGGCAATGGAAGCCAACATCCCAGTAGTTTGCTCACCTCCACAACGAACGGTATACCTTCATGTGCCAAACTAGGTACGCCACTTGGCAAAAAGGAGGTTCGGCGCCTTTGGATCGATCCACTCCATTCTCTTCCAGCACTTTTGGACCGTGTGTCCGTTTCGGCGCACACCGCGGAGGTTGGGCCTTGCCGAGCTTTGATCTATGCCCTTTGGGTTTGGTTTAACGAGGGCGTCGATCTTATGCTGCACCAGTGAAGGGGGATGCCTCAATGCTCAGAGGGGGGTCCACATGGACGCTGAACAAGTCGGTTTGATCGCAGCTGGGTGTTTTTCACCCCTGAACGTCCTACTGTCACATGTCAGAGCGCTAAAACATCTGGGGGGAGTTAGGGTCCCATGCTCGAAAGACACTTGGACTTCTTGAGATGTTTGTGCTGATGATCTATAGAGGTTGCTGCCCTCTCCACCTGAGTCCGTGCCCGTCCTTTGTTTCATGCTTCGCTGGTCACCGAGATCAAGACCTGTTAGGGGTTGCTTCGATTGGAAAAGGGACTGTTTCTCTTGCTCTAAGTAGGCCAGGAAAGCAAGAAAGCTTCGGGCCCTTAGGCGCCAACCCGAGTCGCTTGAGTCGAGCTAAAGATGGCCTGACCCATACCTGAAGCAATTCCTAAGATTTGGCAGTGACATGAGTGACATGTTGGTGTATTTTGTCCAAGCGCATTTTCTACCAGGTGGAGATGACGCTTGTTTTGGGCAAGCTCCGTTTCGGGGCAAGCTGACATGGAAGGTGATGTTTCGGCCCCTGTAGCAAAGCGAATTCAGGCATTCCAGGCCGTTCCGCACCTCCGCCTGCCTAGGCACTGCCTGCCAATGACCGGATCGCCGTGGCTCAGGTGGGGATCGTGTGGGGAGGTGGGGGGCGGGTCACACGGATAGTGGGTCGATTAGTGGAGGGTGAGGAGATGATGGGGGGGAGGAAAGCCATCTGACACCACCTCGCAGCGTTCAAGGACGTGTTCGCACCTTGGGACTCGGGCCACCAACGTCATGTCCGACGGTCGGTGCCCGAGTCGGACTGACGTCGGCTGCCCGGTTTGGACATCGACTGCGCGGGCGACCAGTTGGGAATGGACCGACTGTGTGGACCGACTGAAACGCCGAGATCGGGGGGGAAAACCACGACAAGCACTGCGCGTTTTGGGGAACCCAATCGTCTTCAAGGTGAAGAGTTCTGAAGAAACTTCGGTGACCTTCGGTGCGACCCTTGTTTGTGAGCTGCTTTCAACCTGTTTCAGGAAGCAACCTGGTGGGGAGCTTGCTGGGTGGAACATGAGCTTGCACCAGTGATCTCTTATCTCTTCCAGAAACTCGAGCGTAATTCTCGCTTCCCTCTGTGTACATCCCTCGGTTACCTTGCTTCCTGGGGGGAACCGCACTCCGTATCCAGCCCGTCCGTCACGCCAGTTACTGGTGCATCGCCTGTCGCGCGATGCGCTCCTGGTGCTTTCCAGCCACCTCCACTGGGACCAGGAGCGCCTTTTGGTGAGGTCGTGCGTGGTGGAAGGTTTGGAGTTTTTTTTGGAAGTGGAAAGGGGGGCATGGTGAGGTCTCAGTGAAGTATTGCTCCACCTGTACATTTAGGCGACTGCGAAGAAACATGAATCTCTGACTCTGACTCAGCTTCTCAATTGGAAGATTCCCCCCTGTTTGGAGTGGAAAGGGGGTTTCCCTCACCATGCCGACCATGCCGACCATGCCGACGTTGGACTGGGCATCGATCTCCAAGCCCGTCTGACTTGACGACCGGGGAGGTAATGGACTCGAGTCGACTCGACGTTCGATGAGGTCCTGGGATGATTGGTACCAATGACTCGTGGTACCAATAAGGTGGATATGAACGGGTTGATCGTTCGGTGGCTGGCTAGGATGGATGTGGCGTTTGTTTTTGGGGGTACCTCACGTTGGGGGCAAACTCTCAAATGCTCTGTTCGCTTTTCAGTGAAATTGGGATGTTCCCACATGTACCAGGACCGGCACCGTTCGCCTGGTTTGTGGACACCCGTGCTCCACCTCCAAAAGAAACCTATAGACTAGTCGAACTGCTCGTGTCCTGGCAGTCGCTTCATCAAACCTTTCCGCAGGCGCTGGGCTACCAAGCCTCCGAAGCGCAGGCCACCGTCGTTGACCAGCACGACCGTGGCTTCTGCACGAGGGTCGTTCTTTGCGAGGGTCGGTGTTGGTTCCGAGATAATTAAAGGATGAAGAACCTGGCACCTTCCAAGAACCAGATGAAGAACCTGGAAGATGAAGAACCTGGCACCTTCCATGTTGGTTGTTGTTGTTGTTGTTGTTGTTGGAAAATGGGACATGACTCATGACTGTGACATGACCCGAACAGTCTAAGACCAGTCGGCGGACCTTTGGATTGAGAGCAAGAGTTGGGCATGGATATACCTGGCATCTTCCAACCATTTTTCTGCTTCCAATGGCTGGTTTCATCCGAACAAAGGCAGAAGGTCTTTGCATCGGAAGAACTTTGGCGCAAAGGTAGGCCGACTTGGAAAGGGACTGCACGAGTGCAGGCCTTCCTATTGTGAGGGTGGGATCATGGCAAGAACTTGGACTATACTG